CTCAGCTCCCATCAAATATTTACAATCTTTTAGTCCACCAACTTGGTGGGTTAGAACTTAAAATTCTTTGTCTTACCACTACCTCTGACAAATGTTTTACCTCCGACTCTATCAACTGATCTACCCCTACAACTTTTACTCGCTTATTTGTTCTAGGTTGGTCCTCAACATCACTACTCTGACTAGGTACGACATTTTCCTTTCCACGAGATCTTTTTCTTTCTTCATTTTTCTTTGGTCGTTTTTCTTCGGCTCCAATATTATTTTCTTTCTCCTATGTGACAAATTTTTTACATCTATCACTCTATACCAATTTATGAAAGCACTCTTGCATGCCAAAACTAGCTGCTTTTAGGGTTTCTAGTGCTACGGCTTCATTTTCTAGAATATTACTTAACCAAGAAAGTGTGCTGCATCTAAAAAGACCTTTCAATAGGAGACTCCATGCCTTGACTCTCTTGACTAAAGTTGAACTGAGAACAGCTCTCCACAAGTCTTGTACTGTTAAAGCTACTCTATAAACCTCGTCCATTGATGCCCAAGCTAGACTAATATTGAACTTTTCTATTTCCCACTATGTTTCGGCAAGTGCCTGACACTGCATCAAATAATCTGCATTTTCCTCTTTATCATCTTCACAAAAGACACATATGGGATCCAGATAAACTGAGAGTTTTCTCTTGTATAGGACACTTTTCGTTGGAAGTGTTCATAACAGATTTTTAACATATCTAACTAATCTAAGACTCTTTTTGGTTGAGTCACATCTCATGCCTCTGAGCTCTTTGAATCTCCCCCAACAGTTACTCCAAATCAAGTCTTCTGCTTTTTCATTCTCACTATATAGATGAGTCTTCTTTTGTATATACCAGGTGCTTTCAATTTTTATATCGATCATCTGAATTAACTGATAATAGTTGTAACTAGATAGTTTAAATGAATACTCTATAGTTGGAGTACAGGTATAGCAGATAGTGTAGGATCTTTGGGTGAACTACTTAAATTAGATACCAAAAGTATATACTGTATGTGGCTTGATATACTATTATTGTAATTGCATATAAAATATTATTTCAAATCTTAATAAAAGCTTTTAAGTTAAAAAGGTCACCTTAACCAATATTGTTATTAAACTTAAACTTGAGTATCTATTAGACATAAACAGTCTATATCTATATTTAACTAAAAATTATATCCAAAGCAATATCTATATCCAAGACAATAATAATAAAATAAGAACATAATTGTTAAATTTTATTTTCTAGTTTTCACTTTCATACACTTAAATTATTATAAGTTGAAATAAATTTATAGATTCTTTTACTATTAATTAATCAAAAGTACTTAAACTTATGTAAATATTTCTTTTATTTACTTGCTATAAAACTTTAAAAACTATATACTATATAGTTATAAAATATATAATGCTCAGGAAATTAAATTTAATTTAGATTGAAATACCTTTGCATATTATTTTACTATTATATAGAACTAAAATATAATACATATAAATCTTGATAAACCTTGACCCAGTAGCATTAAACCAATAATAACTTTGTAACATCTACTGTTTTATATTGTTATATAAACAGGATATATTTAGCATTTATTATTATTATCATATATATAATCTATAAATTGAGAATATATATCCAATTTCACAATTTCATTATTTAATTTTTATTGATAGCTAAAAAATAATTGTATTCTAATTATATAATTCAGATTCAATTAGAATAAACTCCCAAAAAATTCCAACACAATATACATTTAAACTTTTATTAACTTTAAACTTGTAAGATTTAAGATTTTGAGACTGATATACTAAATTTATTTATTTATTTAAAATGTTTTGATTTTAAAAAGTATATTGTAGATTTCTGAAAATAAGCTATCCTTTTTTGGCTAAAAAGTTATACAAAAATCATGAAGTAGCTTATTTTTGGGTACAATTAATTTTTATCAATTTTTATTAATTTTTTATTAGCTACAAGTAGTTGCTACATATAAAAGTTGAAATTCTACTAAGTAAATTGACAAAAGTCACTTAATAGTGATTGTTTAGGTGATAAAAATACATCTATTATGAAATTTTAAAACAAATCAAATAACTTTTTACTAAGATGTTTTTGCATTTTATATTCAAATGTAAAATGCAAAAACATCTTAGTAAAAAGTTCTCTTATTTGCTTTAAAATTTTAAAATAGGTGTATTTTTACCTTCTGAACAATCACTATTAAGTGATTTTTGTCAATTTACTTAATAGAATTTCGACTTTTATATGTAGAAACTACTTGTGGCTAATAAAATAGCTTATTTTTAAAACAAAGATGTTTCTTATATTTCTCTTTAAGAAAAAAGGGAAGTGCTTCTTTTGGAGATTGTTTATTTTTAGAAACATACAGTATTCTATTTTTGTTCAAATATAATATCTTAATAATATATTATTTGAAAACTGATAGACTATTAAATATTTTGATTTTTAATATTTATTTTCTAAATAAATATAACAATTTAATAATTAATAACAAAAAAAACCTCACTAAGCTTAAATAAACCAACTGATTTACTATGTAACTTATCATCTTAATTTATTTGTTGGAGTTTGTTTTAATATTGATATGGAGTTTTATCAAAAATATAATCATAATTTCATTTATATATAATTTGATTTAAATTTAATTTTTTAAAAAAGAATTCAATTTTCATTTTGTATTAGTATCAATTGCAAAATAAGTAATATTATTTATAGAGTATTCATCATTATCATCATCATCATATTCTTTAATATCCTCTTTGTCAAATTGTTGTCTTTCTTTTTCTAATATATCCAACCAATCTTGTAAAAAGTTATCAAAGCCTTTAGTATCCATAATTTCATCTTTTAAATCTTCATCTAAAAGTTCATCTATTTTATCTATTTTTTTCTTCTTCAAAGAATTTGATTTATCTATATTGTCTAGAGTGATATTATCATTAGAATCCATTTCTAATAATGTATTAGATTGCTGCTCAATAATATTATATTACTACTCAATACTATTATTACATTGCTACATATTGATATTGTTATATTGTTGTTCAATAATATTGTCATATTTTGCTCAATAGTATTATCATATAAAGATGATTTATTTATTACTAAATTAAATCAGAGCCAATAGTTGTATGTGATATCTGCATGTAATTTATACATTTGCAAAGTTTTGGCAGGCTAAATAATAATAAGATTTTAAAATATATAATTCAAAGATATATATAATTAAATTTGCTATTAACTGACTAAGCTGACTTGAATACAGGAATCTTATGCTGCTCCACAGTCATTCTACAGCAGTGGTATTTACACATATTTCAAAAATCCATATTATAACAAAACCCAGTTCTTTAGTTGATAGACCTGCAAAACACCAATATATATAGATATTATCATCTTCAAATTGATTTCATATACCTAAATCAAAAGAATATTTTTTTAGATGAAAATCATCAAATTCTTTTAAAATTCATTTTAATTCCTTTTATGATCCAAAGTTAGTATAGTTAATATTTGTATCAAACTGTTCTAAACAAAAATTAAGATATAAAAAATATGTGAGAATTAATAAAAATTGTTCCCAATCATACCAAAGGCATTTTAAACATAATATAAGTCGAGTACTAAGCTGCAAATCATCGTGATTATTCTAAAATTGAACAAAATAACTCATACTTAAAATAACTTGATATAATTAGGCTTTATCAGATTGTAATTTATTTAAAATAAAGCAATATGGCCAAAAAATGCTAAATAAATGATGAATATTTGTCCAAAAATTTGAAGAGCTAATAATTTCATATATTTCATATTTTAATTTTGGTTCTGACCCAGTGCATTTAGAAATTTCTCCAACAGGTGGCTTAAACTTAATTGCAAAGATTTAATAAATATTAATAATATTTATTATTATAATTGACCTTCAAGTAGGCTTATTTAATTATTGTAATTGTGATTATGATTGTTAAAGCCAGCTAATTTATTATAAATTTGAGTTTGTATTAAACTTAAATTTATAATAAATTAATTGGCCTTAACAATTACAATTACAATTACAATTATTTAAAACATACTATAAGAGTTATAAAATTATATAAACTGCAATAAATAGTTTAAAGTTGACGCGCACAGAACTCTCCCCAACGATCACTTGGCACAAAAATTAGTAAGAAGAAAAAGCATCCGTTTTCCAGTTTACAAGACAACACAATAGTACTAGATACTAGCAGACAACAAAAAAGACATAGACACAAGGTAGTCTCACAATAGC